AAAAAAAAAAAAAAAAACCTCTCCAAAAAAAAAAAAAGGCTTAATTAGTCATTAGTCCTAATAATTTGTTTTAAAATTTCAAATAGCATTAAAGCAAATAGCTATGAGGCTTATCAGAAAAGGGAACACGCAGCCTTAGACTGAGAAACATGTTCTAAGAATTCGCCATCTAAAATTTGAAAACAGAACAAATGGATTTGACTATTTTGGTGCACTTCCTTCCAGAATGATATTTCTTGTAAGCATTCATCCCTGTGTGGTGGATGGCTTTTTAAAATTTCTTCTTTGTACCTTTTTGCATTTACCAAACTTTGTAGCATGAAAACGAACTGCTTTTATAATGAGACAGCAAACACTGCATGTTATTCCATCATTTGAACCTCAACCAGAAATAGCTCTAACAGGCTAGCCTTGCCCTCAATTAGTTTAAATTATATTAATCAGCTAGCTAAAATGCTTAGCTCCTAGTTAACATCATTTTCTGATTAAGCGAGGGTTAATTGGAAAATGTTACTTAATGAAAGTCTTCCCACAATGTGCTAGTCCACCTTCTTAGTATATAGCTGGATGGATATTGCTTTGATCATCAAGGCTCCTGTGGTATCGAGAATGATTATTCTGAGCATAAGAGTCAAATCTGTGTGAAGATTCCATGTCCTATTGTAAAGTAAGACTCTTGAGCATCCAGTTCTACTCTCGTAACAACCCACCATGTGCTTTTTGTTACCTCTCTCTTCCATTTCCTGCACAATTCTTTCATACAAATGAGTGGGCTTGAAAAGTTGACATGTAAAGGACCTTGCTGTGACAGCAAGCTGTGTGTCCTAGAATTCAATTCAGTTGCAAAATCACTTATAAATGTGTTCAGTAAATATTTACTGCATATTTACTACTTACCAAGAACCATTCTAGGTTTGGGGGGGTAGAAAAATTCATGCCCTCATAAAGCTTGTATTCCAGCAATGGAAATAGGAAATAAAAGGGTTGTCAGAAAAATAATGATGTATCTTTCTGTTTTTCTATTCAAAAATGTGTCATGACTTTTCCAACAACCCAATAAATACAGGCTTAAAATAAGTAAATTGTATAATGTAGTTATGTTAGTGAAAAATCCCATTGGCTGTGTTACAAACTGCTCCATATCTTAGCAACATAAAACAATAAATTTATGTATTCATGGATTCCATGAGTCAGGTTTGGGTCAGGACACAACAGGGATCTGTCTCCTCTCCATGTTCTCTAGAGTACTAACTTGGAGGGCTTCAAAGTTGGGTCTGAAATAATCTGAATCATCCACTCATATGTCCTGTGATAGATGCTGTCTGTTGGGATCTCAGCTGGGAATGTCCACTCTAACATCTACACACAGCTTCTTCAGGTGACTTGAGCTTCCTCATAACATGGTAGCTTCAGAATAATTGGACTTCTTACATCGTAGCTGAGTGGTCCAAAGGTGAATCTCTCATATGAGGTATGCCCAGATCCAGCAGCTTGAAATTCATGCTGTGTATGGGTGCATACTTGCCCAAAATCCCAAGAGGGGAATAGAGGAGAAGGAATTATGGCATGGCCATTCCCCCCCCGGGGGGGTGGGGTGGAGTGGGGGCTGTGTGTGTGTGATTTCTCACTCTTTTTATTATTTTTTGAGAGGTTTTTGCTATAGGGCACATGCACTCACCAGAAAGACAGAGACAGACAGAGAGACAGGAAGAAGATCTTGGGCACGCACGCACACACACACACACACACACACACCCAGTGTGAGTTTAAGCCATTGGGTCCAGGATTCAAACCGAGGTCGACTACATGGGAGTACAGTGACATAGCCATTACGCCAACTGCTGGTCCCTTGCTTTCTGTCTCTCTGTCTCTCCAGCGAGTGCATCATCCTCCCTATGGCAAAAATCTCTCAAGGGAAAAAAAAAAAAAGATTGGATGAGGTCACCAAGTGAATAAAGACAGACAAGGACCAAGAACCAAGCCTTTTAGAGTTGCAAGATTAACCTGTGTGACCACTTTCCATGGGACAGGTGTTATACTAGGCCTAGAAACTGAGAAAGTAGCATTTAACAGAGCATTTTCCTCCTGGGAAACTTAGAGTCTGTTCTTTTGACAGGTGTATAAACTGTTCATTTCAAAATTTTGGCAAAAAAGCCACAATAAAGGTATGTCCAGAACTATGGGGAAATCACAGGGGTGGGATACATTAAGCCTCTCCTAAAGATAAATAGCCAGTGGCTTTCTGGAAGATATAAAATCTAAATCATGGCTTGGGAACCAGCAGTTAGCGTAATGGCTATGTCGCTGGACTCCCACGTAGTCGACCGTGGTTCGTGTCCCGGACCCGGTGGCTTAAAACTCACACCAGGCGCGTGTGCGTGCGTGCCCAAGATCCCGAGAGGAGAATGGAGGAGAAGGGATT